GTTGATTGCACAAGTAAATACTAGCGACAAATTTCTATAAGTTGTAACTTCAGTATGTGTTGATTTAAAAAAAAAGATTTTTGTATTAGTAAATTAAACTCTTTTATTTGTTAATTAAACTTTTTTATTTCTAAATTAAAAGCTTCTTTTTTTTAATTTATGTTATATGATATTATTTTTTTATGTTTTATACAAATAATTTATAACATTTATAAGGATAAATGATTTATTAACTAAATTAATATTAAAGTGCTTTACACTAAAATGTTTTACCAGCAAATTTAGTTTACCAACAGTATTTTTAATTGCCTTAATAAAAAAACTTTTATCTTTTTTTTTTAATTAATTTCAAAATGTCATGTAATTCCACAAATGGCAATTAATAAAAAAAAGTAGTTCTAATAGTTCCAAAATGTTTAAGATTATTTGAACTAGGAATTTCAGAAGACTTAAATTAAACACGCAATAAATAAACTGAAATTAAAAAAAAAAAAAAATAGTATTGCGTTTTTCATATTCTAAAATTTCTTGTTAAAGTAATTTTTAGTTAGTAGCTTTTTTATGAGTTAAAAACATAAAAGGTAGTTTTTTTGCAAAAGTTTGCTAACATTTATATCCGATATAAATGTAAACAAACTTTTGAAAGTATCTTTGAGCATATTTATTAGTTGAGTCAACTTTATGTTTTGACTTTAAATTTAGTCTGAGGTACCTAACCCATCAGTGCATCACAATAAATTTAACTTATATATATGTTAATATTAAAAGATAATTTAAATATTCCAAATTAAAAGTTTTGCTGAATGTAAAAATGCTGAATTCGTATGCAAATTGCCATTAGTTACATAAAATACAAATGTAACGCTTATTAACGAGGCCTGTACTATTTCAAAAATATTTCAATAAGGTCATATTTTATCAATTCAAATCCGATTTATTAACTCTTAGAGTATAGAACAGCCTCTTAACACTCACATGTGTTGGTTGCAATGCAATTACTGATTGGGCAGCATCTTGAATTTTTGTGGGATACTTAATATTGCTTTCTTTACTTCAAGCTTCCAACAACAATCAATTTTTTCCAATTTTTATAAAGAATAAAAGTTTTCTATGTTCAATTAACTTCCAACATTTTCCTTGCTCCTGTTTATCAAAAAGTTTTTCAGTCAAAGTTATTTGATCTGGAAGAGGGAGATAAGTTTAAAGATGAAAAATTGTTACACGCTTCTGTGTCAGCATTGCATTGAGGATTGACGTATATGCTATATATATGACGCTAAAATATAGCTAAAATAATGTTTTCTTTGTTCAATATAATTTTTTTATCTCTTTAGATATCAGCCCTCCTCTTCGTGTTAAGTAATGAAATAGGGGTTTCCATTACTTATAAAATTTGCCTAGAGTCAAATTTTCATCTTCCAATTTTTGTTGCTATATAAGGGTGGTATAGCAAATTTTAAAGTTAATTTGACAAACCTCAACCCACTGTGTTTCTTCTACAGTAACTTGAGGATAACCCATATCTATTAGAAAAAATTGTAAGTGTTCTCTCTATCATCATGTAGGTATCTAGTAATGCAGTCCAAAATAGCTACCTTTCCAGAAGATCTTTAGGTTTCTTGCTGCTACAACTTTAGGTATCTTGCCTATTTAATTAGAAGCATGTGTTGGGCAAATGCCATCATAAAAACCTAGTTGTAGGTTATGTGCTGAATTCTACTAAATCTTTAAGCTACAATAATCTCAATAAATCTCAATAATTAAGCTCATTAAATTTGTTCTAAGTTTGTGAATAAAAATCTGCATATAAAAAACTTAACAAGTACAAGAGGCTAAGGATTTGATGATGTCTCAGTTTTTTCATTCTCTAATGTTTTATCATCAGACTCTAGCATGTCATCTGAGTTTTTAAAATTTTTAACAGTGCTTTGCATGTTAGATGCATTTTTAGTCGCAATACCCATGCTTTTTTTTATTCCAAACTCTTTAATATCATTCCCACTAGTGACTATCTTTATCAGTTGATACAGATAGTCACTAGTGTGTCACTAGTTTGTATCTCTAATTG